TACAGACTGCACGATAGTGCCACAACATATTTTCATGTCTGATCAGGGCGATAACCACCATAGACATTGAGGGGGCCTAGTCCCCTCAATAATTATAAATCGCTAAACCCTTTTCTCAAATATTGCCAATTGGAGAGTAGGGTTGGGTATTGTTTTTTTTTTTTCCGATACCGGTGCCAAATCGATACTTTTAAAACGGTTCCGGTGCCTAAACGGTGTCTGAACCGATACTTATAAAAAATAAAAATTCCCCCAAAAAATGATGGATTGACCATTAGAATAGAAATAGAATCTTTTTAGAATGAGTTTACTTAAAAACAGCGATTTTATCCTCTCGTTGCTGGAAAATATATTGTAGCGTTTCAGTATTTAAACTGTTATTAATAAAAGTCGTGGGGCAGCGTTGACAAGTATCTTTGCTCCTGCATGTGTGAGCTGCGCGATCTCTGATATGTGTGTGTGTGTCAGTAAGCAGTGCATTAATATAGAACGATAATTAAAGGATAAAAAGTTTCTTCCCAGTGGAAGTGAAAAAGACCTAAAAGAGGCATCAGCTGAGATCCTAGGATCTTTGGTGAATGGAAAGTCAAGGCCGAGGCCTGGCACAGACTTAAAGGTGCAGTGTGTCAATTTTAGCGGCATCTAGTGGTGAGGTTGCGAATTGCAACCTAGACTGAAGGCGGGTCACTGATGTGATTGTCTTTATCTTTTATATCTTGGGATCAAAGAGCCAATGGTGTCTTGAACATTTGGAGGGAAAGTTTACGACTCCAAGCATGGTATTTCGCATATGTAATTTGACTGGGTGTTGATGCACAAACTAGTAAAGATTCTTAGAACATTTAATATGTTGCATAGGTATCAACATGTAATATGCACTCTCAATTAGATCATCCGAAGACGAATTCATAGAGACCAAACATGATATAGGTGAGGTTATATTAACTAGTGATCTATCATAACATGCATAAAACAGTATACAATACAAAAGAGAATATACAAGAACAGTAATGG